TCTTATTAATGACTAGGCCTACCACTCTCACTAATGGTTACTTCTGCTGAACGGTTTAACACAAGTTAACAATTAAATGATGAACACACAAATTAGAGGAACACAACAGATTAATCGCTGAAAGAACAATGTTAACCAATTCCCTAAAGTGATTTAACAACAACAAACATGAATCCTACCCACAATCCTCCACTGCAGTCACATGACAAACAGCCAAACACAGCAGAATGCTACAATATGCATTCCCTGTTCCCTGACAACTAAATATCACCTACATTATGCCATCAAACTACTGCACACCAACAAATGCATTCAAGCAAAAGAAACCAGACAACTTATGTTTTATTTCCACCATGTCTTGTCCTCTCCTTGAAAAGTGAAGCAAGGGAATGAGGAGCAGCAGCCTTTGTGTGTGCATGCAGCCTCAGTTTTAGCCCAGAAGAGTAGAAGTTACTTAATATATTCATGTTTATGAGCTGTCCAGAAAAAAACACTTAAATATTACTGGTAAAATAATATTAGCATTTACTTTTTTTGTATAGTAATATTGATAATGTGTATTGTTTATTTAGTAAATTCTAGTAGTTTAGAGATTTTGAAATTTTTTGTAAAATTTAAAAAGAATAATTAAATAAATGTTACTACACCCAAAAGTTTTTTTTTTCAGTGTATGAGACACACTGAGCTGCTTTCAGTCGCACTCAGGCACAAGATTTTTACATTTTTTAAATTGTTTTACAAAAATATCAGCTATACATTTGAGTGTATTTGGTGTGTGTGTGTTCAAATTACAGTCAGGGCTCATTTCCATGCTGACGAGTGTGTGGTGTGAGCGTCTCAGTGTTAATCAGTGTGTGTTTCACTTCTCTTTATGTGAAGACATGAGTGTGGACGTATGTTTATTCATGTTCTGTAATTAAAGGAAAGTGTTATCGGCAGCACGTCGACCCCACCTCCGAGCTCGGGTCGAGCCGCAGCTCGGAGGCCCGATGTCTGCGGTGTAATCCTCCTGTCACCCTCGGGGTGTTTCTCGGGTTCCCCAGCCTCATATCTAAACCTTATTGAGCTCCCATCAGTGCTCTCTCACACACACGTGCGCGCACGGTCGAGTGCTGCTATATTTAAGGGGACTTTGTATTGATCTCCATTAATGTCTACAGCCTAACCCTGACCAATCACACTAAACCTACCATTCCAAGGATGCTGGAACTTTGTGTAAAACAAAAATAAAAACAGAATGCAATGATATGCAATTTTTTTTCAACCTATATATAACTGAATATATTATAAAGACAAGATATTTCATGTTCAAACAAACAAAATATATTTAGTTTTTTTTTTTGCAAATATTCACTTATTTTGAATTTGATTCCAGCAATACATTCCAAAAAAAGCTGGGACAGGGTCCTGTTTACCACCGTGTTACATCACCTCTCCTTTAAACAACCCTCAGTAAGTGTTTAGGAACTGAGAACACTGATTGTTGAAGATTTGCGTGGAATTCTTTCCCATTCTTGCTTGATGAACAGCTTCAAGTGCTCAACAGTCTGGAGTCTCTGTTGTCATATTTTGTGCTTCATAATGCTCCACATATGTGAGCCATCAGATCAAAATGAGGATTAAGTTAAATTTGGTCAAAATGACCTAATTACATTTTCAGATTCCTGCTTTAAAAGCTACATTTTGATACTTAGATCGTTCTGATTTTATAAACTTATCCAGAGATGTGACTTAATTTGTCTTGTTGGTTAGGATAATACGTTGTTTGGTCTGAATCCTAATTATATGTGACCCATTACATCAAAACAAGGATTAAGTCTAAAACTGGTATAAGGAGGAATAGGCAAATATAGTGTTTTACTAAAATGTTAACAAAAATTGCATTTTGTCAAAATAAAATGAATAAAAGCCTTATCAATGTATCATTTGAATGAACTGCCTGAAATATAATCATAAAACAAAATTTTGAAGCACTTTTTTGAGCAGTAGCAACAAAAAACCTGATTTTGAGGAAAAACGCCTTAAAATTTTGAGATTTTCCCTGTGAGTTAGCAAATTTTTGTTTCTTTTTAGCTGGGAAATCTCAATATTCAAATATAATTTGAGGTTTCCTCTTTATAAGGACGTCAAAAATTCCTCATTAAAAGGACATCAAATTAGTATTCAGATCAAATATTTATGTATTACTGTAACCAACAAGACAAATTAAGTCATATATATGTACTTAAGATATCAGAATGATCCAGGTGTCAAAATGTAGCTTTTAAAGCAGGAATCTGAAAATGTAATTAGGTCATTTTGACCAAATTTAACTTAATCCTCAATTGGAAATGATGGCTCACATTTGTTTTATACAAAATCCAAACTTCCTTGGATTTGAGGTTGTAACCTAAACTTTATTCATACCTTAGTCCTGAACCTAACCCCAGACATTTCCCCTCATGGGGATGTCCCATAAGTAGCAGTTGGTCCCCACAAGTAGGCCTTTTTTGTCCTCGTATAGTAGGGAATACCTGCGCCCACACACACAACCAGCCCTGAGGTAAAACACAACACTTAATATGTTACCATGAACAATTATTTTCAACTGGGCCAAAATGCTGGGTGGTTAATTAATTTATTTAGTAATGACTTGTTTATTTTGGTCTGAAGTCTTGATGTCAGAACAGTTTCCACACAGAAAATGTTTGCTTCCTTCACCCCTCTGCAGCAGCTGAGAGCCAACATCAGAGAGATGGAGAAGCTGTGCAGTCGAGTCCGCCCTGAAGACGCCGAGGCTCTGGACGCTCTGGTCGAGCCTGTCAGGACCAGAGCGTCCGCCGCTGCGCAGGACTTCCTGCGTTTGCACTCCAGCCCGGCGCCTCGGCCCACCCCGGCAGCACCGGCCGCCGCGCCGCCGTCCGGCTGCCAGACGGTCGAAGACGATGGAGAGGAAGTGATGCCGGGGAGGCAAGTTCAGCTTCAGCTTCCTGAAATTCCTGCTGATCAAAATGCAGCCGAGTCGTGGGACAACCTGGAAGAGGTATGCACCCTGCAACAGTTTGGAACGTGACCCCAACGTGTAATCTGTTCTAGGCCTGTCACGATAACAAATTTTGCTGGGCGATTAATTGTCTCAAAATTTATTGCGATAAACGATAATATTGCCTGG